CGGCCGAGTGTGAAGCGGCTGGGATGAGGATCAGCACCTCCAGATCTGAGACCATGGTTCTCGACCGGAAAAGGGTGGCTTGCCAACTCCGGGTTGGGAGAGAGGGCCTACCTCAAGTGGAGGAGTTTAAGTATCTTGGGGTCTTGTTCACGAGTGAGGGTAGGAGGGACCGGGAGATCGACAGGCAGATTGGTTCGGCGTCTGCAGTGATGCGGACGCTGAGCCGATCTGTTGTGGTGAAGAGGGAGCTGAGCCAGAAAGCCAGGATTTACCGGTCAATCTATGTCCCAATCCTCACCTATGGTCATAAGCTTTGGGTAATGACCGAAAGAACAAGATCGCGGATACAAGCGGCCGAAATGAGTTTCCTCCGTAGGGTGGCTGGGCTCAGCCTTAGAGATAGGGTGAGGAGCTCGGACATTCGGGAGGGACTCGGAGTAGAACCGCTGCTCCTCCGGATCGAAAGGAGTCAGTTGAGGTTGTTTGGGCATCTGGTCTGTATGCCTCCTGGACGCCTCCCTAAGGAGGAAGACGACGACGACGACAAATTCTTTTTCACATCCAGAACTCAGTTCTTCTAGATACAAGATTCTGCTAAACACACACCATTCAATCACCATACATCCCATCCCATCCACTTAGATTCATCCATCACATCAGTCTTAGTTAACTTGTCATGTATTTAATTGTTTGGAAAATACATTCTTAATTTTTATAAACCTGACTCTGTCTGAATTGATAAGTGTTTTTGATCCCTGAAGAAGCAAAGAATCCTACAATCTTCTGATTAAACATTCAAAGACCAATAAGGTTGATATCCTATATTTATATGGAATATTACAGCTTATTGATCATAAGTAGAGGTAATATATTAAGCTTAAAAACAACTACTGTATATTTACCCCCTACATCTAGCTGGTCAGAATCTCTGAACTGCATTGTGGTATGTGTGCTTTTGTTCAAAGTCATGTACAGACAACAGCTTTAATTTTGAAGAGCCACTTCAGTGCTCATGTAAATTTGAGCGGTAGTCAGTTTTCACTGTCTGTAATTTCAGCCAAACTACAAAAGCAGTTGAGGGTGCACTTGTGAACACGCTTTAAGTGTGCACTTGGGAATAAAAAAATCTGTTGAGTGGTTGGCTTGAGTTAAAAAACATTAGCTAAAGTCGAGATAGAGCAACACTCCACAGTCATAGATGCACTTATTTGCTCCTTGGATTCACAAGCTTGGGGATTCTGATACATTCACTTAGTGATTTATGGAAACTGAGTTAAACATTATTCTTTGCTGAGGAATCCTGCAGGTTCTCTAGTGACTGTAATAAAAAAAAAGGATTAGCATCAATGCCACAAACAGAATTGGATAAAAGCGCTCATTTCTTGGCACAAGATTATCCCAAAGACAGATAATTTTTCAACACTGACTCTGGTGGTTGAACAAAAATCCTTTGTCTACCAGTGTTTAATGATCAAGTTTACTCATAGTTTTAATACATTTGCATTGGTTTCTAATAGGAATGAATGCTGCAAGTTTTGGGGAAAAAAAGCTTTGGTGCACCTGTTTTTAGGACATATAAGTCAGCTGGAGGAAAAGTAGATTCAGACAACAGAATTTGGACTCTACCACTGACTCTGTTTGCTCTGCAACTTTGATGTTTTATCTCAACAAATAATATATGACTGGAGGTGTTCTGCTGTGTGGTGGAGGAATCACATTTAAAGATTTGTATTTGTTTCAGAAAAAGTGACTTTGGGGATAACATTATGCGAGTTGTAGTTACACCTGCAGACATGAAGGGAGTGCACTGCCTCATGAGACAGTATAGCCAATTAGCCGGCCTTTCTCTCCCATATGGCAGAAGCGAGGCATCGAGGAATGTCACTGGTCACCTGTCTCATTATTTCCCTGTGTTTTACAGGTCAGTAACTCAGTAAAAACTACATGAACGGGGTTTTTAAATACTTGTAAGAACCACCGCTAGAAGTGGGTGTATGAATCAGTTGGTGAACTCTGTAATGTGTTGTGTTTGTAAAGCTAAAAGACTTAGGAAGCTAGTCAGGGCGACGCAATGGCCGCCATTTTGAGTTGCTTTGATACTTATTTCAAGGTGGTTTTGGGTTATATAAGTTGTGTTTGGTCTGACATTGTGTGACTTTGATATAATGTTGTTTCTTTCATTTATTTGAGTGTTGAGCTAAATGGGTTATTATGTCCAGCACTACCAGGTTGATGTTAAAGCCAGGTTAAAGAAGTATCGAAAAAATTCATGTAAGGTGACTTACATTATATAAAAGGGTAACAGGAGATATGTGGGGGATTTAGTGGTCACATGTGTTTGTCTACAAAGCACTGTTATGCTGTAAATAGGAAAATGCATATGATTTTATTAAATATGGCAGAAGTGAGGCATTGACGAACCTCACTGGTTGTCTGTCTCATTATTTCCTTGTGTTTTACAGGAACATTCAATCTGTGTCACTCATAGTATCAATCAAATTCTGCAACCATACTTAGTTTTTATTTATAAGATGCTCCGGTTCCCCACCAGGTCATAAGTGTCTTGTTTCTGGTTTTAAAGTTTGCATATTAATTAATATCCTTATACCTGTTAGCTTTGATTTAATTTGCAGGGTATGATTCATCCATCCATCCATTTTCATCCACTTATTCGGAGTCGTGTCGTGGGGGCAGTAGCCTAAGGCGAGAGGCCCAGACTTCCCTCACCCCAGCCACTTGGGTCAGCTCCTCTGGTGGAATCCCAAGGCGTTCCCTGGCCAGGTGAGAGACACAGTCCCTCCACTGTGTCCTGGGTCTACCTTAGGTCTCCTCCCGGTTGGACTGCCCAGAAAACCTCACCAGGGAGGCATCCAGGAGGCATCCTGACCAGATGCCCGAGCCACCTCAACTGCCTCCTCTCGATGTGGAGGAGCAGGGTGTCTACTCCGAGTCCCTCCCGGATGACCGAGCTTCTCACCCTATCTCTAAGGGAGAGCCCAGCCACTCTTCGGAAAAAACTCATTTCGGCCGCTTGTATCTTGTTCTTTCGGTCACTACCCAAAGCTCATGACCATAGGTGAGGGTAGGAACGTAGATTGACCGGTAAATCGAGAGCTTTGCCTTCTGACTAAGCTCTCTCTTCACCACGACAGACCGGTACAATGCCCGCATCACTGCAGATGCAGCACCAATCTGCCTATCGATCTCACGCTCCAGTTTTCCCTCACTCGTGAACAAGACCCTGAGATACTTAAACTCCTCCACTTGGGGCAGGACCTCATCCCTGACCCAGAGAGGGCAATCTATCCTTTTCCGAATCAAGACCATGGTCTCAGATTTAGAGGAGCTGATTCTCATCCCAGCTGGTTTACACTCGGCTGCGAACCGCTCCAGTGAAAGCTGAAGATCACATTCTGATGATGCCAACGGGACCTGATCCTCAGGCCACCAAAATGGATGCCCTCCACATGTTGGCTGCACCTAGAAATCCTGTCCATAAAGGTTATGAACAGAATTGAGGGCAGCCTTGGCGGAGTCCAACTCTCACTGGGAACGAGCCCGACTTACTGCCGGCAATGCGGACCAAGCTCTGACACCGGTCATACAGGGACCCAACAGACCATATCAGAGGGCCTGGTTCCCCATACTCCCGGAGTACCCCCAAAAGGGCCCCCCAAAGGACGCGGTCAAATGCCTTCTCCAAATCCAGGAAGCACATGTAGACTGGTTGGGCAAATTCACACGCACCCTCCAGGATCTCCCTAAGGACACAGAGCTGGTCCAGTGTTCCACGGCCAGGACGAAAACCACATTGCTCCTCCTGAATCTGAGGTTCAACAATCCAACAGACCCTCCTCTCAAGAACCCCCTGAATAGACCTTACCAGGAAGGCTCAGGAGTGTGATCCCCCTGTAGTTGGAACACACCCTGCAGTCCCCCTTTTTAAATAAGGGAACTACCACCCCAGTCTGCCAGTCCAGTGGGACTGCCCCCGAAGTTCACGCGATATTGCAGAGTTGCCTCAGCCAACACAGCCCCACAACATCCAGAGCCTTAAAGAAGTTGTCACTCCCCCCTCAGAGTCTTACTCCACCCACGTATCAATTTTAAAAACTGCAACATTAGTAGGCGTTGCCTGGAGGACCGAGAGGGCGGAGCCACGGCAGTGACGAAGACGACGGCTAACTAGACGATGCTAGCTCCCTTCACTCTGAGCAGTCATTAGAAGTAGAGGACGTTTCTCCCCCTCCTTACACAGACACTCGAGAAGAAAGGGACCAAGTCTATTTGGAGGAGACGAGCAGACCTGAGCCTTATTATTGTTTTGAGCTTGTGAGTTGCCTGAAACTACAGGAACCGACCCAACAGAACCATCTCTGAATGTAAGTAGCCGTTAGCCATAGCATCAGATTAGCTGCAGGGTTTGTCTCCACGGCCCTAGAGCTAGTATTCAGCATGTGTTAGAGGTTTATCTGCTTCAACACACCTGGTTTTAATCAGCAACAAATAGCTGAGCTGCTTAACAGCCCTGGGCTCAAGCTACAGTCTGCTGCATAAAGTTATGAAAATATCCCATGAGAAAATTATTCTGTAATGTGTTCAGCCCACTAAAACTGCCCTGATTTCTTTATTTATTTACTAATAACAGCTGCTCTCTCGGTTCTAGGTCCTCTGGTGTCTGCAGGTGGTCTCCTCTGCTGGTGTCATCAGGATCAGGAGCTTCCAGAAGAATGTGCCTTTCAATGACTCTTTCCCCCTTATTTGTTATATTAATTAAATAAATCTCAATTGATATATTTCCTATTTTTGTTCATGTCCATAAATACTTAAACATGCTTGAAATTAAAACGAGCTTTTAACAGTGAGGTGCTAGTTTAATTCATCACAATAGAGCTAGTTAAACATGCGACAATGTGATAATTCAATTAATGTAATTTATAAATATCCTTTAAAATATCAAAACTGGAATCAAAATGAGATATTTGGCAGCACAAAAAACTTGTCAAACACAATATTTATTATAATATTTGTAGGCAGACAGGAGACAGAGCTGATGGAGGTTCTCAGTCATCGAAGGATGGCTGAAGGCTTTCCAGGAACAGGAGATGTGGTGTTGTCTCTTCTCTCTCTATTCTGCCAGATGAGCTGATAGGTTACAGGTGTGTGAGGACATCCTCATGCTGTCACAACCAGATGACAGGAGTTATCAGGTGATCAGCCAGGCTAATGATGAGATGCAGAAAGAAAACAAATCCAGGACAGTGTACAATAATATGTGGTGTTGCTCACCTTATGTGCTCTTATAAGTATTAACTTGTGCCTGCCTCATGGTGTAGAGTCCATATTTTGCTGAGTGTCCTGCAATAATGCAGGTTATTAGTTAATTTACTTTCGATAGCAAAAACAAAATATTTAATGTAAAAGTTATTTACCAGGTGAATCAGCTCACACGTCACCACCAAGTGTCACAGGGCCAGAATCAGTAGCCTCCTTCATGATGTAATCACATACTTATTTGTTAATATCTTAAAAATTCTGAAATGTTTTAATTTTTTTACCTTGAACAGTTCACTGAGCTTGCACTGTCACTGAGGTGGAAGCTGGAATCAACAGCAGACACCTCACATCGTCAGGGGTGTGGACGCTGCTCTGACTTTCTGGAAGATGAATTTCCGTCATGATCCTTGTGTCACAAGACACACTGAGGCTGTGAGCTCTTCTGTATGGCTATGTACAAAAACAAAGAAGCAGCACATTTATAAATGTTTAAAAGAGCATAAAATCACGTGTAACAATAATCTGTAAAACAAATTAAAACTAGAAGGTAATAATAAAATGTTTACATAGAAGATTATTAAAAATAATTCACCTTTGCTACGCCGGTAAAACTTCACATCAGCCTGGACAAGTGCATTCTTGCAGCTAAATCAGTCTGACAGCCAGTGTCTTGGGTAGATTTAGCCTGAAAAAAAAAAATAGAAGCACATTGTTGTTGGGTTTTACAAAGTCAGATAAAATACAAAAGAAACTGTCCTATAAAGGCGCTTTATAACATTCCTAGTGTGTGATCGTTGTTATAACGTAAAAGTCAGTCACATATGATGTGGAGAGCCTGAAATGCGACCTCCTGAACAGAATTCCTCACAGAACCTGTTCACAAGCTGGATTTCACGCTGTAATGCTGTCTGTCAACTGGTGCTGCGTTAGTTAGAGACACTGTTGCAGAATTACCGACTGACTAGCTAAAGGAAGTGAACCACGTCTCTCGGACTTTGCATTTAGGTAGGGAATTGTCTTTAGAAGATGTTAAAACTTTATTTAGCTGACTCACCTCAGACAGGAGCCCACCGTGGTGGGGGAGCAGAGTCGTAGGGCTGCATCTAAATCGCGGAAGAGCCACGGTGGGCACAGCCTCCCTCTTCAAACTGAGGCGTGCAGAATCGCGGGTAAAATGCCCACAGAGCCACCGCAACCATACTACACTACACCATCTCACCATGCTAACACGATATGGAGCACTAAACCCTAACTACTTTCCTAATTACACTAACAGCCAAACACTAACTAAACTACAATATCCAACAGCCAAGCTAACACTAAATAAGTATGTATAACACTAAAAGCTATGCTAAAGACTAGGATATGCTAATGCTATATGCTAATGCTGAACTAAGGCTAGCCTCCTACACTCGCTTGCAAATCCAACTCCCAACTCGCCACAAGGCGTGGCCGAGACGCTCGATCCTTTTATAACTTTGACAGAGAGCTGCTACGTAGTACTCTACTGGTTTACGTAGTATCTTACTCTTTAGCCATTGGCTAAAATTTATTCAAAATGAGTCAAATTCTATGTTTAAAGCTGAAGGTGGAGCTATACTGTAGTATTTAGGCAGAATTTTTAATTTTTAAAGAAAATGCACCAAAATGCTAAAATAATGAATACACACATTTAAAACACTATTAGACACTCATTTATACAGTTCATCAGCAAAAAAAAGTTAATTTAGACTTTACTTGCTCTTTAAGAACCTCCGGGCGGATCTCGTCCACCCCTGGAGCCTTGCCACAGAGGAGCTTTTTAACCACCTCAGTGACTTCAGCACCAGAGATTTGAGGCCAGCTCAAAGTCACCAGACTCTGCTTCCTCACTGGAAGACGTGTCGGTGGGATTGAGGAGGTCTTCCAAGTATTCTGCCCACCGATCCACAACGTCCTGACTAGAGGTCAGCAGCACACCGTCCCCACTATAGATAGTGTTGGAAGCGCACTGAAGACCTGATAGGACTCTTTCTTCAGCTTGACAGCATCCCTAACCACCGGTGTCCACCAGCGAGTTCGGGGGTTGCTACCTCGACAGGCACTGACGATCCTGCGACCACAGCTCCGGTCGGCCACCTCAACAATGGAGGCAAGGAACAGGGTCCATTCAGACGCAATGTCCCCCGCCTCCCCCGGAACATTTTGGAAGTTCTGTCGGAGGTGGAAATTGAAGCTCCTTCTGACGGAAGGCTCTTCCAGACGTTCCCAGCAGACCCTCGCAATACCTTTTGGCCTGTCTGGTCGGACGGGCATCCTCCCCCACCATCTGAGCCAACTCACCACCAGGTACTGGTCAGTTCACAGCTCTGCCCCTCTCTTCACCCGAGTGTAAGTAAGTAAGTAAGTAAAGTTTATTTATATAGCACCTATCAAAGATATAAATCACAAAGCGCTGAACACCATGAGTAAAATCAGGGCAAATACCTCAAACCAATAAAAACATCATAAAAACAATAGCAGTGATAACAATAGTAACCAAAATCAGGAGTAAAAACAAAGTCACGGTGTGAACAAGAACAATGCCATCTTTTAGAATATTTAGCGGGGGAAAGCCTGGATGAAAAGGTGAGTTTTAAGATGTTTTTTGAAGACCTTTACAGATTTCAAGAGACAGATATTTGCAGGCAGACTATTCCAAAGTCTGGGGCAATAGACTGAAAGGCCCTGTCCCCTTTGGTTTTTAGTCTGGTTCGAGGAACAGCCAGGAGGTTTTCAGATGTGGATCGGAGGTTCCGTGAAGTGGTGTGTGGGGGGGATAAAAGCTCGGATAAATAGCTTGGAGCCTGGTTGTTAAGAGCTCTATAGGTCAGCACTAAAACTTTAAACTGTATTCTAAATTCTACCGGGAGCCAGTGGAGGGACTGTAAAACTGGGGTGATGTGACCTTGTCTGCTGGATTTGGTCAGGAGTCTGGCTGCTGCAGTTTTGATGGCTTGAAGGCGTGAGAGGTAGGTTTTGCTGAGACCAGTAAAAAGAGCATTAAAGTGGCCTTGGCTGATGGGCAAAAGGAGGCAATTTCCTGCTCGATTTTTGGTTGAAGTTCCGGGGGTGCAGAGATCAGGGTCTCTGTCTTGTTGGCGTTGAGAACAAGAAAGTTGCTGGACAGCCAGTTACTGATCTGGGTCAGGCAGAGTACAAGGGTGGCCAGCCTGTCCAACTGGTGTGGCATGAAGGACATATAGAGCTGTATATCGTCAGCGTATATGTGGTAGGAGATGTCTGGGAAAGATTGAATGATGCCAGCTAGAGGAAGAATATAGAATGTGAATAGTAGAGGCCCTAGAACTGAACCTTGTGGAACCCCACATGTTAGAGAGGCAGTGTCTGAAGAGAAGGTTTCTGACTTCACTGTGAATGTTCTGTTTGTGAGATAGGAATAGAGCCAGTCTAGAGCAGAACCTGAAATCCCAGCCAGGGCATTTAACCTGTTTAGTAGTATGTTGTGGTCTACAGTGTCAAAAGCTGCACTGAGGTCAAGCAGGACCATGACAAAGCATTTCCCAGCATCAGCAGCCACCAGGAGGTCATTATGCACCCTTACTAGAGCAGTCTCGGTTGAGTGCTGCTTCAGAAAGCCAGATTGGAAGGGGTCAGAGATCTTTGACTTGGAAAACCAGGATCTGAGTTGGGTTTCCACAACCTTCTCAAGTACTTTACTGATGAAAGGTGGTTTAGAAATGGGCCTAAAGTTACTGGTGGAGCTGGCGTCAAGGTTGGGTTTCTTTAAGAGAGGAGTCACTACTGCATTTTTAAAGTAAATGGAACACAGCCTTGGTTCAGTGAGCTGTTTATCATAGTCAACAGAGATGGACTGATGGAGGCAAGGGACCCGACTAAGACAGAGGGAGGTAAGATGACTGATGAGCATGATGAGAGCTTCAACTGACTGATTATTAACTAAGTCATTTAGTGTAATTGGGGAGAAGGAGGTGAAAGATTTGGAGCACTGGGGGGGGGGGGGGGGGGGGGGCTCCCCTCCTGAGGGGGGAGGGCTGGTGGAATGCTGGATCTCAGATTCAGCACCTTGTTGGCAAAAAAGTGGAGAAAGGTGTTACAATCAGCTGAAGATAGCTGAGCCTGCTGCAGAGGAGAAGAAACGATGCTGGAGATGGTATCAAACAAAACCTTAGGATTATTCTTATTTTGACATATGAGGTTGCTGAAGAAAGAAGACCTGGCATTTTCTACAGCTTTGTTGTATGACTCTAGAAGTTCTTTAAAATATTCGCGATGAACAACCAAACCTGTCCTCTTCCACCGTAGTTCCGCTTTTCTATAGGAGCGTCTAAGATCAAGAATCTGGTTGTTCAGCCAGGGTGAACTGGAGGCACTGGAACTGCGGCTGGTTTTGTAAGGGGCGACCTGATCTAGAATTTTGAGGCAGTGATCATTAAATGAGTTGGTAAGGAGCTCTACGTCATCAGACGAAGGAGGTACAAAGTCAGAGGGAGGAGAAATTTAAAATTGTAGAACTGTTGATAATACGTCACTGCTTGGCAGAGTCTGGTAAAAGAGATTCAGAATTTAGGTTAATATGAAAAGAAACTGACTTATGGTCACTGAACACAACATCATTTATCTGCAGTTTATCAACAAGAAGTCCATAGGAAAAGACCAGATCCAGGGTGTGGCCTGCTCTGTGAGTGGGACCAGACACGTGTTGAGAGAAGTTAAAAGAGTTCATCACGTTTAGGAACTCCCTGGTAGAGCTGTTAGATAGATCCTCAGCATGGATGTTGAAATCTCCAACAATGATTATCCTGTCTAGTTTAATAGTTGAAGATAGGAGATCCTGAAAGTCAGACAGGAAGGATGAAGTAGATCCACGTGGGCGATAGACCAGAATTCCATTAACTGGTAGAGCTCGACCTATTTTAATCATGATCATCTCGAATGAGCTGTAAGAGTTTGAGGATATAATTTGGCACGAAAAGTGTTTCTTAAAGATAACAGCTGTTCCTCCACCGCAGCCTGTGGTCCGTGGAGCAGAGAAGAAAGGGCAGTCTTGAGGACAGAGCTCACGGAGATGAGTGACGTCATTTTCGCGCTGCCACGACTCAGAAATCCACAAAAAGTTTAATTTTTCGGTGCAGAACAGATCGCTGAGGATGTGAGACTTGTTGGCGATGGAGTGCGCGTTAATTAACGTCATTTTCACAGAGAAATCTGGCGATGTGTGTACCGCGGAGTGTCCAAGACATGTGGCCGCAGGTCAGATGAAACAACAACAAAGTCAATCATCAAGCTGGGGCCTAAGGTATCCTGGTGCCAAGAGCACATATGAACACCTTTATGTCTGAACATGGTGTTCATTATGGACAATCCATGACTGGTACCGAAGTCCAATAACAAAACACCACTCGAATTTAGATCTGGGGGGCCGTTCCTCCCAACCACACCTCTCCAGGTCTCACTGTCATTGACCACGTGAGCGTTAAAGTCCCCCAGCAGAACAAGGGAGTCACCGGAAGGAGCGCTCTCCAGCACCCCCTCCAAGGTCTCCTAATAGGGTGGGTAGTCTGAACTGTAGTTTGGTGCATAAGCACAGACCACTGTCAGAACCCGTCCCCCCACACATAGGCGGAGGGAGGCTACCCACTCATTCACTGGGGTAAACCCCAACGTACAAGCACTAAGATGAGGGGCAACTAGTATGCCCACCCCTGCTCGGCGCCTCTCAGTGGGAGCAGCTCCGGAGTGGTAGAAAGTCCAACTCCTCTCAAGGAAACTGGTTCCAGAGGCAGAGCCATGTGTTGAGGTTAGGGATGGGTACCTTTGACATTTGAATCGATTCGGTACTAATTCCCGGTACCTAGGAATCGATATTGGTACTTAACGGTACCAATTTTAGATACTTTTGAGTGTTTAATATTTTAATTCTCTTTTATAATTAAATATATATTTTTCTCAATATATAACCGTATTGGATAAATATCACAATAAATAACATACAACTGTTTGTATTTTAACATCATCCTTGTAGTTTTATAAGCTGATAATTAAACTGTAGCAAACATCTTTACTGTGAACTAAATTTTCTGTGTATCTTCATTTCTTTTGCTGTCCTTTTTCATTTGATTTTTCCTACTGGGAAGTTAGAATTTCCCAGGAGAAAGCAAACGCCCCATTAGCTGATAACAATGATTCAGACAATGCAAGCTAATTTATCAAGCTAACGTTATCTTAAACAGTTTATTTAGCTGATGGAGCAGATTAAAACGATGATGCCTCACACTTAGATCGCTGTCGCTGGTTTCATCTTCACCCAATCACCTGTCGCATTTAGTAAAGTGAAGCCAAACTTTAGAGCGCGTTCATGTTTTTCTAGTCAGAAATTCGGAGTTCCGAGGAGAAAGTGAACACACCATTAGCGGAATGGAAGCTAACATATCAAGCTAACATTATCTTAAACATTTTTTTTACCTACCGGAGCAGATTAAGATGAGGATGTCTCAATTAGATCGTTGTCACTGGTTTCATCATCACCCAGTTACCCATCACATTTAGTGAAGTGGACCCAAGCTTTAGTGTGCGTTCTTTCTACTATGCTAATCTGTTTACAACTCGCTCGCAGCGACTGACGACATAACTCTCTTGCGCATGCACAGCTGTCTTGGCAAGTTCTCATTACGAAGGACGGGTACCGAAACGAGGCACCGTTTCAAATGACGTGAATCGGTGCTCAGTCGGTACTATGGAATTCGGTCGGTACCTTAAAAAGTACCAAATTCGGTACCCATCGCTAGTTGAGGTGAGTCAGACTATATCTAGTCGGAACCTCTCAACCTCACACACCAACTCAGGCTCCTTCCCCACCAGAGAGGTGACATTGCATGTGCCAAGAGCCAGCTTCTATAGCCGAGGATCAGACCGCCAAGGTCCCCTCCCCTGACTACCACCCGTCACACACTGCATCTGACCCCTTTGGCCCCTCCCACGAGTGGTGACTGCTTAATTTGAATTATTCCCATTTCTACATTTCGCTGACGTCGTTAGGTCCGTTTTAGGGGGGCTTCAGCCCCCCTAAAATAATCACAAGCCCCCCTATCATTTTGGTTTATTTTATTTTTTTCAGTTAACTTTTTTTATTTGTTCACATCTACATGCTGAACACAATCATGACACGTGTAATTGGTACATGAGTTTTTTAGTCTGAAACAGAAATAATAATTAATGAATATAGAACTACACCGTCGCACACAGGAAGTATCAAGAAAGGACTTCCTCCACTTCCTTAAGCCCGCAGCTTTGTTGACAAGTCAGGGGGCGGGATGATACAGAAAAACCTTTATATCGATGAGCAAACCCTGCTCAGCGCTCATGTAAGTCACTCAACATCACATTAGGGTAAGACAGCAACAGCAGCACACCGTTAATATTTCAAGGTTATAGTTCAGACGAGAGAGGAAAATGCTACCGCACCGACATGCTAATGCTAACTCCGCTAGCATGTTTACATGCCGCAAACCATAATGAAAAGCTTTGATGTCAAGTAAAATGGTCGGAAAACTCCCCTGAAGTGACATGATTAACCACCCAGCCAGTTCATTGAGTGACTTAGTGCCACCAACTTGAGAGTACAGTAATGAGTCTGCACAAACAGAACCTGTTCCGCGCTTGTGTGCAGCAGCTGCAGCCCTCTCTATGGGATCAATTCTGCACATGCAAATCTCTCCCTGCTCTCCTCAACAAGTAGCCTCTCCAACAGTCAATCACAGACAGCTCTGTTTTATCCAACCAAAGCATGTCCAGGAAACACTGCTTTACAGAAAAACACCCATTTAACAGCTTATTAAACTGCTTTCTGCTGCTGGTTAGCTACCAGTCACCATCCACTGCCTGCAAGATACTTTGTTGTAATTCATGTGTCATGATTAGGGTGACCATATTTGACTTCCAGAAAAGACACATTGCCTATTCCTAAAACTGTTAAATTGCACTCTTTTCAGTTAAAAATGACTTTTAATTTCAACATATAAAGTGTTTCTTCTCTGTTTGGTTAGACATAAATGATCCCTTGATGTGTAAAAGGAAGTGAACAGTGGAAATGTCCCAGGAAAAGAGGAGGGTTAATCAACCTAATTAAATATAATTATATAAAGTCCTCTTTATCTGAAAAAAGTGCAATTTTCCTGCCAGTATTTCCTGGACATGCTTTGATTGCATAATGGAGAGCTCTCTGATTGGCTGACGGAGAGGCTACATTGCTTTGTAAATTGCAAATTGAGCAACAGCAGGGAGATTTGTGCAGGCAGAGACGGAGTTGAGCATGCAGAGAGAGGGCTGCATACGACGTTGTGCTCTTGCAGATTGATCACTGCACGCTCCAGTTGGTGGCACAAAAATCACTCCACACTAAAAACCTGAATCAGAATCTGGCCGAATGTGTATATTATTGACCATTTTTCTATATTATATATATTTTTCTATTATATATATATATATATAATATATTATAGGTACATATATGTATCTATAATATAGTAAACAGCCAGTTTTATATATGTCACATATATTCAAAAGCTACATCAAAACATATATTAAAACCTATATGTTTATGACTTCTTTCCATGTGGGTTGTCAATTGCTTAATATTTCCTATGTTTACCTATGGTAAAGAAAGGAGATATTGTACTCATCTAACTTTAACATAAATTTTGGCAGCTCGATGTGATGTTATGGAAAATGCCATCATCATGAGCAACCAAACATAGGCTATATTAGGCTAACAGTTGTCCATATTCTGTACCATTTATCCACCAATGGCTGTTTCAATTATTGTGAGTGAAAACTGAATGGTATAGTAGCATTTGTCTTGGCATTAGAAATTGAAAATGTTTTTCAATGTGTTGGCTAGATGGATATACGAAGACTTTTTTAAGAGAGTGAGTGAGGAACAGGAGAGAGATCAGGTGGTTGATGCTGAGGAGATCTGCATGGTCAAGGTCAGTGATCTACAGCGAAAACAGGGGCGAGCGCACCGTTATGAGCATTTACCTGAGCACAAAGTTCCCAAGCAAAATTGAACAGTTTTCTATTTAGGAGTGAACATGTAAGAGACATTGAGAAAAAAATAACTATAATTATCATCTGGCCTGCAACCTTATGTCAAGTTGTATCTGTATAGTTGACTTTCTGTATTATAAGTTCTACTACTTGCTGGATATTTTTATATAAACTGTTATTTTGTCTTGTAATAGTTAATTACACACTCCTTTATTCCATATCATAGCAGTGTTATTCATATATTAAAACTGTCAACTGCACACTCATTTGGCAGAATAAAAGTTTTACAATTATTCATTTGTTCTTTATTGTCATATTTCAGTAACAGTTATAATTAAACAAGTTGTAAGTAAACAAATTAAATAAATGACTACAACATTTCCCCCTGTTAAGTGCAGTAGACTGAAATGAATAGCTTTATTTGGAAATATAACATATCTCATTTTTAATGGACTTACATAAAATCTTTCTTCAACATAGACCCCACTAATGAACTGATTAAGTGTTATTTTTTATGAAAAGAAGAGAGAAAATGCACAAAAGTAGGAAAGGAAAAGAAAGTGATAAAATAATAGGTTTTGTTAAATGTTCTTCAGATAATGAATTAATTGACAAAGTTTTTGCAGGGTGTGACAAAAAACGTTCGAGGTCAAGCTCCTGGGGCTAAGCCCCCCCTATATCTCAATCCTAGTGACGTCCATGCTACATTTTAATTATTCTGGAGTTTTGTTTTACTTATTTATAAATTGACGATGTGAAAACTTCACAGCTGGAGGTGGTAGTTTGATCACTGCCATGTCAGAAATGAACCAACTTAAAGCTTGCACGTGCCATGGAAGCATCAGTAGGTTCAGGTGTTTGAAACCCCACTGAGGCCAAAATGAATGTAAATAAATAAATAAATTTCATGCCATTGTAGAATAAGGCCGTTAGATCAAAACAACATCCCTGATTTATATTCAGCTGATGCCTTAACATGTCCATGAAGTCTGTTTCTTCTGTGAGAAGCTGAATATTAAGTGTGCCAGAGCCCAGTGGTTGTGATAATCACCCATGAGCAGCCACTGAATATGGATTATGAATGTTTCCTTGTCTGTTCATCTTTTTGTTTGAAGCAAAGACCTGAAACCTGCCAGTAATACTGAATAAGATGCAGTCAAATGGTTTTGCACTCTAAGTTGTACTTCAGCTAGAAAACACTGTAAAAAGCTGTTGTAATGTTGAAAGGCCAGTTAGGCATTACAATAGGGTTTCATTTAAAAAGTTCATTTTAAAAATTTGGGACCCTTATCTGATGTTGAAGAGAAATGCTGACACATTGATGTGATTATGTTGTTATTTTGTTGGTTCAGACAGGTTTTCTTAGTCTGCGAACACAGAAAAGACATGAGGGAAAGGTTGTGAAATTTTCACCAGACTTTGGGGGAAGCTGACATGGATCTGACTGATTCATCAGCTTTGATGTTCCACAGCACCATGGCATTTCCAGATAAACTGTGGTGCTTCTGTTGACACTGTCCATTTCTTGTCCACTGCTGCTGATTATCAAATGTTCTTTTTCTGAGAGTTCAGGTTGCCGTGGTGATGTTATGGACAAAACTGTGTCTGACTGAGACTAAAAATGTGTTTGAAACTGAAGGGACTGGATAGTTTCTACTAACAGCAGAGGTGTGACCAAGTCACTGCTTTGCAAGTGACAAGTAAGTCACAAGTCTTTCCAGTCAAGTCTTGAGTGAAGTCCTAGTCAAAGACAACCAAGTTCAAGTTGAGTCTAACATCATTGATGTGGAAGTCCAAGTCAAGTCCATGTTCTTAACTTTGAATTTTCAAGTCATAATCAAGTCATTTGTACAACATCAATTTAATAAAATTGATGATAAATAAATTCCTGAAATAAAGCTTCTTAAAGCTTCATTTATTTGCTCAAACAAGCAGAAAGTGCAACTGATATTAGATTATAAACAAAGTGCTGCTGCATTTAGCAGAACAAGATCAAACCCAGAACCAAGAATGATTTATGATTTTTGTCCATGTCCTGTCACTTTTGTGCTAGAATATCAAATATGCTCAAGTCATCATCAACACAACAGATGCAAGTTGATTCAAGTCCCAAGTCATTGGCATTCAAGTCCGAAGCAAGTCGTAAGTCTTTATAGATTTTTTCAAGTCAAGTCAGAAGTCATTAAAATAAGGATTCAAGTATGACTCGAGTCCAAGTCAAGTGACTCAAATCCACACCTCTGATTAACAGGATCACATGTCTCAGCCTCACTGGTAAAGCATGTTGTGTAGGAAGGGAGACTGTGGTGAGATTGCTAAAACTGGGATTTATGGGGAGCAGTAAATCAGATCTTTACTCTCTATACCTGTTGAGGGGGATTCTGGAGGTCTGGTACCCCAGTCCACATGGGTTTTGTGCATCTGGGAGAGACTTGCAAAACGTACATGTTGCTTGAGCACTTCTGTTGGGCACACTGCAGAACAGTTGGATGCCCAAGTCTTTTGAAAGACAGAATGTTGGGGGTCGCTTTAGTAACAAACACTAAGTATTTTGTTCTTCACAAAAATATGAGTAAAATGTTTTGAAGAACTTGCAAAAGCACTCAATGTTCGGCAAGTTAAGTAACAATCATTACATTTAGAATCCTGTAGTGACTGATTAGTTAAATAATTATTCTTTCACTTTAATTGTGCAGTCTTTATGTAAATAACATGGTTAGAATGGAAGTGCAGATTTCAGAAAATATAAACAGAAAAAGCGGGCCCTAGTATTACTGCTGAAGCATTAATTAATCATTCACTCAACTCCACTTAGGGCTGCTCATTTCATCAAATTTAAATCTCAATACAATCTGGGCTCCCCTGAGTTGCAAATCGAGCGCACATCCCACATAGGCTTGCCAACTTAGCACAACTTTGTCACTATTTCCAGCAACTTTTTACAGCCCCTTCTTGACTTTTCCCCCCAAAAGCACCTAGTGAACAACCTATCAGTAGTTCTGCTAACCTATAGCAACTTTATGTAGAAATTTGTCATCAATATTTTCTGCAGATTAGCGGAACACCCAACCTGTGCTCCGGACCAATCAGAAACCTTCTATGTGGAGCTCCCTGGGTCAAAAACAAAAACAAACAAAAAAAAAAAAACATTATTTTCCAAGCAAAACAAACTCAAGATTCAAGGAGCCATATATGAAGGGAACATTCGTTTTATCAGGGCTGCAAATTCTCGCATAATGAGTGTGAGACACACATTTGACTGTCTGCATGTGCTCTCGCGCTTCACCTACAAGTTCTCAGGCTGATGAATAATAATAGTTGATCTATCTGAGCAACACGTTGCATCATGCTACTACTGTACACACTCTCCTGTTACTCCTACTGTGCACTGCTAGATAGGCCTAACTAATTATTATGCAGCAGGTTGTGGAAGTTCACTACAACATAGAAGTTCTTTTTTTTCTTTTTGTATTACAAATGTTTGTACTGTGCTTCTCTCTTTTATAGTCTGTATTTGCAGTATTTGATTTATCAACATTAATCAGAGATCGTCTTAAATCAGTAGTACTCACTCCTGGTCCTGGAGAGCTGGTATCCAGCATGTTTTCATTGTTTCTCTGCCTCAACACACCTAATTCAGTGGTTTAATCACCTGTGCAGCAGCTCATCAGAACCTTCTTAATCACCTGCTGATTGAAACCAGCAGGTAGAAGCAGGTTAAAACTAAAACTGAATAATTGAGATCTCAATTTCTGTCATAATAATCATGATTATCATTTTTGTTATAATCTAGCAGCCCTAAAATTCAGCTTCATTTATAATGCATTTTATACACAACTAGGTTGACCAAAGTGCTTTAAAATAACAATTGAAATTAATGTGGAACAAAATAGAACCAATATAAAAGACAATTAAATTAAAAAGAATTAAATACAAGTGTTGTTGTATTGTGTTATACTGTCAGAATATGCTGAGATATAATGATGTTATTTTTAGACCATAAAGCCCACTCCTACTGGAACCTTGAGTTTCCAGGAGTCTCATTTATAAAGCTTGCTTATGCACCAAATGGGGTCGTAAAACTGCATAAGCAACTTTCCACGCAAACTTTGGGATTTATAAAAGAAGAAACTTAGCAGAAAAATGTGCACAACTTTAAGTTGACTAAGGACCTGGCTTATGGGCATTTTGGATATGGAGAGCACCTGCAGTGCTGCTGCTGAGAAGGATAAAATTATGAATTCCAGCAGCATTATCCGCACACAGGACAAGCACCCCCCCCCCCCCACACACACACACACACACACACACACACACACGCACACACACTCACACGCAGCCTGAAGTGCAGCCCCTGCCCCAACATGCAGAATAACAGCAAGGAGCCAGATTGAGACAGTGTGTCATGCGTCATTTATAGGACCGACACAAAAGGCATGATTTCCATCTTTTATTTTCTTGCCAATTCTTTAAGTGTTCCTGAAATTACAGTCAGGACATCACACATTCTATGCAGTTCTTCTCGCACGTCATTCACCGCACTAATCATGTCCGTCTGTGCCTGCAGGACAGCGTCAGTTAGCACCCGGCCACTTCCAGGTGCGTCATGCGCCCGAGGAACAATGGTGAGACAGGCTGACCCTGCAGCCACATCTTTGGTCGCCGCTCGGGATGCCTCGTGGGACACTTCATCCAGAGTCACTGGGGGGAAACAACGAGATTTGGTTTTGTTTTATATTTTAATGACAGGCACATTTGATCTGTTTTAATAAAAGGCTTAAACGTGAGTCTCCTCTGCATGGTCAGTGTCTCCCTCCTACGGCACGATGCCATGCACGCTTGACAATCCGAGTACTGCTGAGATCCTAACGGTGAGCGGTGGAGGATGGGAGGTGCCAGGGCCTCCGCCAGTGGCAGGCACACTTTGGTGGTGGCAAAACATCTGGGGGTTTTTTGCCTCCACTTTCAGATGGAACCATTATTCGACACAGATCTCTGAATAACTCACAGCATTGATGGCTTCAGCAACGCTGTGCCACTCCGTGGATTTTCTCATATGTTTTGCAAAAGCACTTCCTTTCATTTTTCCTCCTCACCCACAAGTACCTCAATTTCTGCTTTAATGAAATTGATCTTCCTTGATCTGCAGTCACCATCGTTAATGGTGGAATGCTTCAACGAGCCGGCTTATGTATATACATGAGATCCACAAGGCATTTTGCATTGACCATTTATGGCAGAAAGTGGGCATGTTGAGAGCGGGATGTGACTCAGAAAGAGTAGCTCCTGACTGCAGTATGCAGATCGGGGCGGAGTGCAAATGTTTGACTCCGCCCACTGCACGGGTGCCATGTTGAAAAAAAAAAACATGTAGAGGCCGGCCACCATTTTAGATAGGTCTCCTTCGCCCCCCAGTGCACTCATTTCTGCAGAGGAACGTGCTAACTAAAAAACACATTTTATTAAGCTTTTTCACATAATCAGATATAGTATGGCCTGATAATTAAAATATAATTATAATTAAACTAAATAAAATTAACTATAAAAATCTATCAGTTAGAATTTGTTAGGTGCAATGTGGGTGGAGTTAAACGTTTGGCCCCTCTCACTGAAACCAGAGCAGAGAGAAGTAGCACGCAGAATGGAGGTAGGCATGGATTTTCCTTCAGTTTTAATGATACTAAGCATTAATTTTGTGGCGAAAATGTTATTAACCTGGACTTAAAAAGTATTTTTCTGAGTTTTAGATGAATGTAATGGTATTAACCTGACTTAAAAAGTATTTTTCTCAGTTGTACATTATTAAGATAGACATTAAAAGTCTTATTCTGAGTCCTAGACTATGGCCCCTGGATGGAGCTTGGCGTGGATGATGTTCAGGTGAGACATTACTTCATAGCATTTACAAACATTTACTACTTTCTTGCCATTCTTTTATTAAAGGGACTTTATGGACTTTTGAATGTTTATGCTCGTGATTGCCCCCTCAGGCCAAAAGCGTAACGGCAGCTTCAATAGTAGGCTTGTGCACGAGGCGCGCATGCTGTACGTGCACACACCTTAACGAAAATAACAGCTGACAATCCCTTGTGTGTGTGTGTGTGTGTGCCCCAGAGGACAGGATAACATGCAGCTAATTAATTAAATAATTTGGTTCTGTACCTTTCTCTTCAGCACAGCCGACAAAGGTTTAAGATGGGTCAGTCCTCCTGCATGCTCAGATCATTCCCTTCCCTTGCTTGAAAAATTGTCACAAAATGAAAGTTGAACCCACATCTTTTTTATCTGTGAATTCAACGCCGTTCGGCGAGTCTCAAATAAAAATTTGGGCGTCTTACTCTAAAAAAAAATATACCATTAATGTAAAAAAGAACCTCTAAATAAACATTGTTCACATCCAGAATCAAACCCAGGTCTTCTGCACGGGAGTCACACATCTTACAAAGTGAGCTACACTCTAGTAACATTCATAGCATCTGTAACTTTTATATCCTTGATAACACTTGAAACAACATCAAACCTAAGAACAGTTCGGAGCAAAAATGGCTATTTTGTTGCTAATTTGCAGGAAATATCTAGAAGAAAGTTCTACAGAAAGTAGCTAAGGGTCCTCAGAAATGTAGCTAGGTTTGTCACTAGGCGTTAGGAACAGCGACAAAGTCGCTGTGTGGCACTGCCTCTCTCTCTGCTGCTAAATCAATGGATAGCAAATGCTATGGGCTATGCCTGAGCGTGAACGCTCATGAAGCAGCCTGCTCGACCCGAGCAGCTCTCTTTTTCTGTGATTTTACAGAAAAACAGGCAATCACAGTAAAAATGCCAGGGCTCATTCTACAGGACCAGGGCATTGCAGGAGAATGTATGAAGAAGACGTATTATTTCTATACATGTTTTGGCTGTCAATCTTCCATAATGCCCCTTTAAAAGACCTTGTTCACACCTTAGGGCCTAACAAAGCAAAGGTGCTCCAACAACTGTAGTGCATTTGTTTTGATGGTAAGACCATTTTAGTATGTAAAATGTTTGCATGGTACATTTAAATTTTGTATCTGAAAATTGTATTCTGGGGGAACATTAAAAACATTAATAAATTAACCAGTACCTCTTGACTTACAGTACGCACTGTACATAGTGATGGGGGCCAAATGTGACTTCAGAGAGGTATGTGAAAATTCTGACACATTACACTTAGTACACAAGGTTTTATTCTTCAACACATATCTGAATCTTCCTGCATTTCCTTTTTAACATGCAGCAAATTAGGAGATGGTGGTGTCTTGTTCTCCCGCAAAACGTCCCCGTGCCATAAGTGCCTTTCATGGTCAGACTTTTTTTTATCAGACACTTAAAAAATAGCTTTACTCACTGTTAAAAAAACAACAAAAACAATGTTTTCATAGTGAATGAATGTGGTCATTGCATCACCAAGGTCTGAGGAAGACAAATTGCAGGAAAGAAAAAGACAGAGGGAGCCAAAAGTAAAACAGGTGAGAGGTAATTGGATAAATTAATCTTGTGTTTGCAGACTAAAGCATAATCCCGTCACCTATTTCTGGATCTTGAAGTTTGTTTATTTGTTTATTTAAAGATCCCCATTAGTCTTCACAATAGTGAAAACTATTCTTCCTGGGGTCCACTTGATAAAAGAAACAAAAACAAAAAGAAAACACATACAATATCACATAGACAGTGTATGATTAAAAGTACAATATTTCATATACAATGTAAGAAAAACGCAAGAAACTCCTATATTCAACCTCATAAAACAAAATCATAAAAAAGCACTAAAAAGACAAGGAAGTGGTCCCTCCTAAAAGGTTCAGGCTTTAAGAATCTGTCTGTGAAGCATCAGGTATCATTCAAACCAGTTGTCATGGTCTGGGTACTGCTCTGTTTGCTTTTTCCTGAGTTTCTTCCCTGCAGGTGGGTGTGGCTGAGACTCCCTAGCTGTCTGGCATCATCACGGCACCAGAGTATTTAAGGAGCAGCGTGACTCTTCTCCACGCTGGTTGATTACTCAGTTTGGGTAGATCTGATCACAAGTCCTGCACTTCTGTCAAACAATCCGCCTGTTTGTGTGTTAACCCGTTTTGCCCGTCTGCTCAGGTCCCCGTCTGCTTCATCTACTCCTGTGACAATAACTCTGAATCTTCACACCACATCTCGCTGCCCTCCTCTTGTCACCTGCTCTCAGTCCCCCACCTGCCGCTACCTCCAGGATCATCCACTCACCCAGACCTGACTCACCTCCCCCTGCGTCCCTTCATCCTGAAGAACGTAAGCCTCAGAGACTGTTCATATCCTCCTGCCATCTGCCCTGTCAAACTTCTCAGCATACTCACTCTGTTCTCCTCTCTAGATCCCGTCCCGCCGAGCACCCGTCTTCCGAATTCAGGTGGACTAGGTAATAAGTTTTAGTTCAGTGGGAGCTGAACCTCAGTAAAAGGTTTTGAGGGCTCATGTAAATGTAAACATAGTACCATAGTTTTAGTACTGTTTTAACAAGAACGTATATAGAATAATATATAACCTTAGTATTTGGTGGTATTTACATAAACACATTTTGGCACCAGACCTGATCATGATGTTAATAATAATGAATGGTGCCCCATACAAAAGCTTTTTTTTATTTAATCATAAGCTTAGGTGTAACATATCAGAGTCAGAACTGTTTTTACTGTCAATAGCAGTAAAGGTCAGTTTACAGCACGAGGAACTCGTCTTGGTGTCAGGTGCAATAATAAATAATGGTACCAAAATAGTTAAAAGACATATACAAAAGAGTAGAATAAAGAATAAGATTATCAGAACAAATTTGAATAAAAAATTGGCACCTATTTCATTTAACTTAATCATCTGCGCTTTCTATATATTTTATTGAAATCCACCGAACAGGTTATTTGATTATCATTGTTATGCTGACATCATAGACATGAATTCCTAGACGACTGGGTGCTGGAGAGCATCGTCACCATACCAGATGGGTCTCCTAACTCTCCAAAGTCAATGCAGAATGAGTAACTGATAGAATTTTATATTTTAATTTATTTCGTTTAATTATATTTATATTTTAATTATCATGCCATACCAAATCTGATTTTGTGAAAAACATTGATAAAATGTGTTTTTTAGTTGCGTAAGCATGTTCCTCTGTAGAAATGACTGCACTGGGGGCAAAGGAGACCTCTCTAAAATGGCCGCCGGCCTGTACATGGGTTTTTTCAGCATGGCGCCTGTTGCGCCCCACCCCAATCTGCGTACTGCAGTCAGGGGTATTTGTCAGAAACAGCTGAGCACATTTCTAGGTAGTTTCTGATTCATAAAGCAGAGATTGTGTGAAGCCGTGCGTACTCCATGTTTTATAGGTCACAAACTTACTCGGCGTGAGTAAATTTTTTTTTGCTGAGCTTAAGTACGGTTTTAGTAAGGATTCTATGCAATGTTTAATAAATGAGACCCCGGATCTACTTCTTTGCAGAGGATGTGGTTCTGCTGGCATTTGTGTAGCAGCCAGGATGAAGGTCAGCTCTTCATCATTGAGACCGTAATTCTGAATGTGAAAAAAGCCTAATTCCTTCTCCATGTTGGAGCTCATTACCCAAAAGTGGGGACAAGTCATTGTGTTGCAAGTCTCAAGTCATTATCCTCAAGTTGGAGTCAAGTCTCAAGTCTGAAGCTTCAAATTTCAAGTCATCTCAAGTAATTTCATTAAAACAACACTGCAATTAGATGTTCAATGTAAATCATAGGCCATGTGTTCTTTTTGAAATCTGTATTTTTTTCAACA